TTTCTATGATCATCCATTCTTATTCTTTGCCCTTTTTCTAATTAGTTACTAATCTTTTTTTCTTATTAATGAATAAGCACTCTGTCATATACATTAAAGAGTTTTTTTTTTGGTACAGTTATCTTTTGACTAGATTGTGGTCTTTTTCTGCAATTTTTAAAAATTTTTATGTAAATTTAATTTTTTTCCCTTTATGGCTCTGAGTGGGATGTTCCTTTTTCCAAAATTATGAAAATATTCCTGCATTTTTTATTTCAAGATTTTACTAACATAGTGTTGCAGGTCACTTATACTTCAGAAACAAACTCATTCACTCATAGAAAAAGAGATCAGATTTGTGACTGCCAGAGGCAAAGGATGGGAGGAGAGGGAAATGAATGAAGGCAGTCGAAAGGTACAAATTTTCAGTTTTAAGATAAATAAGTACAAGGGGTGTAATGTACAACATGATAAATATAATCAAAACTGCTGTGTGTTTTATATCAAAGTTGTTAGGAGAGTAAATCCTAAGCATTCTCATTCCAAGAAAAAAATTTTTTTCCCTATTTCTTTAATTTTATAATCTATGAGATGATGTTCACTAAACTTACTTGATAATCACTCCATGATATATTTGAATCAAATAATTATGCTGTACACCTTAAACTCATACAGTGCTATATGTCAATTATGTCTCAATAAAACTACAAGAAAAATATTTTAACCCACCTGAAAGTTCCAGTTTAAAAAAAAAGCCAAACCCAGCTTTTCCCTGTCAAATGGCAAGCCATCTTAACCTCACTTACTGAATAACTCATCTGTATTAATTCGAAATGCTATCTGATCATATACTTGAGTGGCCAAATATCCTTCTATTTTCTATAATCTAACTGTAGATTTCTATGTCAATACCATAAATTTTACTAGAATTTCATACATTTTAATGAGCCCATCCTTATGACTCTTTTTTGCCCTAGGCTTTTCCTTGTGCTTCTCCCATGTTTATTTTACAAAATGAACTTCAGTCATTTTATCATGAATCCTTTCCTTCTCGAAAAAAAAAAAAATCAAAAATCAAAAATAACAAACAAAATCCCATTAGTCTTTTCATTATGATCACCATTAGTCTTTTCATTATGATCACATTAGATTTAAAGATCATTAAAAAACAAATGTGATTTCTTTCATATTGAGTCTCCTAATAACAAGGTCACCTAACATATACCAAATGTAGAGGCAATATTCAAATTCTGGTTTATCTGAGTCAGAGCCTTAACCAGTGTTGAAAGCTGAAAAAGCAATGAAAATAAATCTCTCTTAAAAACAGAATACTGGGGGCATGGGAGGGGAAAATAATCCTCTGATAAGATGTAGTATGCCCTTCTTCCCTCCTTCCAGCAAACAGCACTGCAGTCATCTAAAACGTTGATCATTTTCATATGAATGGCTGAGAAAACACGGGTATCACAAAGAAGGTACTTCTAAATGTCAGTTTCCATTCCGCCCCACCCCCAAAAGTAAAGTACAGGACCATATATATTTATCTTGTTACTTACATACCACCTTTTAGCAATCAAAATTTTCTGCAGTCCTGATCCTGCTAAACATTAAGTTCAACAGGTATGTCTTCTGTATTCATCTGAATCAGTGGCTCTCAAATTTTGCCTCTCCCCACTGCCTCCACCCGGGGGACATCTGGCAATGTCTAGAGACATTTTTTTGTTGTCACAACAGACGGGTGTGTGTGTGTGTTTGTTACCAGTATCTGGTGGGTAGAGGCCAGGGATGCTGCTAACCATCCTAAAATGCACATGCCAGCCTCCCACAACAAAGAACTCTGTGGCTCATAAATGTCAACAGTGCCAAGATAAGAAATCATGATCTAAATCACTGATGAAAATGCTGAACAAGAATGAAAAAATTCTGGTACACACTCAAAAGATTTCCCGGCTGACTATCAACAACCTAACCAGCAATATTCTAAGTATGGCTTTCAACTAACTGGGAACTTACCTTAATGCTTTATTATTTACCTACCATCTGAATAAAGACATTTTAAACTCAGTTTGTGACAAAATCATTTTCCACTTAGAAATAATAACAGGCAACTTAACAATGAACAAATGAAAAAATTCTGTTATAGATTTGAATTATTTTTTCACTAAATTATTTTGAATCATTTATTTCACCAAAATAGTTCTAAGAATGAAAGATCATCTTACAACAACAGATTGGTTTAAGTCAGACTTTACACTTGAACTTTAAGATATCACTCTAGAACATGTGGGCAAATATTCCATATCTCCACAGCAATTAAATAAAAGTAAATTAAAACATAATACCACTTCAACCTTCCAAATTAGCAGACAATTTTTTTTTTTAGAAAGAGACAACTCAGTGCTAGTGAGATGTTTAAACAGGTCTTCTCATGTACTGCAAATGGAAATGAAAACTGGTTTATCTGTAGTTTATCACTAGCCCCATTTTATAGATGAGGAAACAGGCACAAAGAAGTTAGGTGGCTTAGCTTAATATCACACAGCTAGGAAGAGGCTGGTCAGAAATTTGAACCCAGGCAGCCTAGCTCCAGGTTGTGCTCTTAACCACTCCATTTTACTAGCTATATGTTTTATAGAATTTTTTCTACAACCCTTTAAAATGCATCAAAAATAAGACAAAATTAAAGGATCAACAGACTGGTGAAGACATTTTCAATGTATGCAACAGATCCAGATGATACAAACAGGCATGTCTTAAATAAAAATTCAAAAGTTAAGCTTCTCTAATAATCAGATATGCAAAAAACGTTTAATAATATTCAATTAAAGTGCAGGTATGACTAAAAGAGGCACTTATACTTTTTTTGCCGAATGTACAAAGTGGTACTTTTTGTGGAAGGATAATTGGGGTTTCTCTACAAAGTTGAACTGCATGCAGTCTCTGACCTAGTAATTCCATTTTCTAGGAATTGATCCTACAGAAAGAGTTACATGAGCACACAAAACAATTTGTTCTAGGATGTTTATAATGTTATTTATAATAACTAAAAGCTAGAAATTAGCTAAATGTTCATGAATATGGGAATAATTAAATAAATTTGGATACAGTAGCCATAGTTGGAATATACTACTTAAACACAGCAAGGCAAATTTGCATTAACAAGAAAGAGATTCATGTTTTATATATATATATATTATATATATATATATTTTTTTTTAATGGAGGTACTGGGGATTGAAATCAGGATCTCATGCATGCTAACCATGTTTTTTATAACTGAACTTTTTTCCTTTCTCCCATAATATACTGTCAAATAGAAAAAAGCTAGCTGCAAAAAAGTGTGCACCTTTATTCATAAAAATAATGTTTAACTTGAAGAGAGTCATGTAACTTTTTATACTCTTATGTAAGTATTTAGTATTATGTTTTACTCTGTTAACTGAAAAAAGCAAACATGATTAGAAAGAAATGAAATATTATCTGTGGTTGCTGTCTCTACACAGTGGAATTACAGGTGCTATTTCTCCTTTAAGCTTTTTTATGAGGATGTATTACTTTTACAAGTGCTACTGCACGCTGATGCCTTCTACATTCCAGTTAGTGTCTAGGTGAGTTAATATACTAAGGTCACAACTCTTCACAGTAGCTGTCATCAGCTCCATTTTACAGATGCGAAAGCAACTAAGAAATTGACCCCAAAGCCTACTGTGTACTATGTTGCTAATCTCCTTATAAAAAAAAACTAAAAATATAAGAAAACCAACCCCAAATCATTATAAATTCATGAGCAAAAGGCATAATGCAAAATTCTGATTTGCCATTTCAGAGATCAGAGGTGTTCCAAAATAACAGTATAAATTTGTGTTCTATACGAAGACCCCAAAACTTTAGAGCTGAGGCTATAGTAGTAGTAGTGAAACCATTCTGAATGGTTTCTTTCATAAAATAGGAATACATTTTATATTTGAGAAGGCAGGAACCAGTTACCTTAAAGTTCAAACAAATTATGTCAATTTCTAAATATGTCAGTTCCAAAATACACAAAAGAATCATCTCATATTTGATAAATGCAAAGCATTACTTCACTCCTGGAAACCAACCCCCCAAAGGGAAAACTACCTTTGCAAATATTTGTCTTGAAACACATAAATGGATAACACCATTCTCTAATTATATCTTTTGAAAAGGTAGGTTTATTAGAATAATAACTCTAATGGCTCTGTCTTTTAATTTATGTAGTAAATTGGAAGGCAAACTCAGAGTTTACCCAGTACAACCCCCACATTATATAGATGAAGCCCAGAGGAAGGGTAATTTGCTCAGAGCCTCACAGTTTCAAAGAGACTGAAGAGGGAGGGACTCATTTAGGTTTTTTGACTCTAAATCCAGAATCTTGACTTTTGAAAGGTATTACCCAATAATTTAGTGGGCTACATAGAATACTTTGGGATCCTGTTCTCCTCTATACTAATGGGGCCTTTTTGACCCAGCACTTTCAGGAAGCAGCAGACTAATATCTGTCGTATTATTTGTACTCACAGATTCACTATAGAGTAAAATGTTTTCCAAGTCCCCTTTCTTCCCCATCACTGGCTTTCAAATGAAATCTTATTTGGAATCTCAAAGAAAAGAGTATAAAAGCTAAGCTGCTCCAGTTAAAAATATGCAGGAATTCTCCTTTGATTTATGGCTTTGTCATTGAAGCTTCTGAAATACTTTCATGGTATCTTAAGTGCCAGAGAGAAAGATACATATATTCTCTCCCTCCCTCCCTCTCTCACACACACAGACACACACATACACAGCAAACCCAAAATGTTAGCAAAGTCACATGACATAAAATTAGCATGAGTTCCTAATTATTTATTTCCAATTTGTGCAGTTAACTTGTCTTGGACCAAAAACAAACAGCTCACAGACCACACTTTGAGTAGCAATGTTCTACAGCAAACTAAACCTTAAAAGATGTTCCTAAACAAATCAGAACATCTGATACATTAAGAAAGAAGTTAGAAACTTACTTCTTATCAAAAAATGTTGAATTTTCTTTCCTTTTGGTGAATCCATTGGGTAGCAGCTTTAAGTTAATGCCTTGCTTTCGAGCACGATTTTTCATAAAGTACATCTAACAACCAAAAACAAATAGACAAATTAATTTTGAAAATGCCTTAAATTTCAGAAGCACATAAAATAATGTTCAAAACATAATAGTTAGAGATTTACGTGTACTTATGTTTCACAAACAGCACTAAACAGCAACATTCCATTTAATCCGCACGATACTATGAGGCAGGTGCTATTACTGCCCCCGTTTCTTCTATTTCAACTATTTCTGAGAGGTGAAGCCTATATTCAAATCCAGCTGTGTCTAATTCCAGACACTGCTTTTAACCACACATTCGATAAGCCAAAAGAAGATTTTCATGAGGATTAAAAAACAATACAGGCCATTTAGCAATCACAGGGATTACCTACACAATTCTCTTTTTAACTGATGGTTTCATACCATAGTTAGCTATATTTATGCCTACTTTTATTACTAGACATGTAGCTCATTCAGAGGAGGAACTAGAGCACTGCCTAACACAAGGCTTAACTTAAAGCAGCCTCTGTCATAGGATGCACAAAACAGGATGTGAGAACATACTGGTTCTGAAACGTGCTACTCCACTGACCACCTAGGTTGTTTGAACTGAATGAGTCAACTCCAGAAAGCAGTGAAAGAAGTCATATCAAGAAAGAAGAAGGATCACTCAGAGAAGCGGCAGAATACAAATGTCAGCCTTTGGTTAGGTGAGCGGGAGCTAGACTCTGCAATGCAAAGAGAAAATCAAGTCATAAGCCAAGGGAAAGGAATGGCTAGCTATCACTGGCTAAGCAGAATAATGACTTAAGAAATTACATGCAATTTTACACCATATGGGATTTTGGTTTGAATAATGGCAGTGATTATAAGGACCAACTCTCCCACTGAAAGCATCTAAGGATGCCAGATAAAGGAGGGAAATACGTATACATAAATTTTTCTTAATCACCTTAAAAACATTAATTAAAAAGCTGACAGAAATAGTCAGGAAACTACAGGCCAATATGTAATGAAAAATTAAAACTCAGGTAAGCAAAGCAATGAAGCCACTATTGCTAATTCTGACGAATACAGGCTTCCTCTTCCAACAGATTCCTTGGCAAGAGGTCAGAGTCAAGACCCAGTAATCTAGGAACCCCTCTCAAATGAAGCTGAGTCACAAAATAATACACCCTCAGGATAAAGGTCACCAGAAATAAATTCTACCCCCAGAGCATGCTAGAAATTTTGTATTAGTCGGCCTGTAATGGGGAGGCGGGGGAGAAAAAAAAGTTCATTAGAGGTTGTGGCCATATGCCAGTCCTTGCTCACACTTGAAGCGATTTGCCTTGCTTGTGTGGTTAAGGGAATCTTAAACCTTCAGCTTGGTTTAAGATACTCCAGACTGGCAAAGTTCTTAGGTACCTGGTCGAATAAAAGAAGGCCTGTTTGTTCCAGTCTTTAAAAAATTCTCACAAGTAATTTTTAAAGAAGAAAAAAGCAGTATTCAACAAAATATAAATAAGCATAAAAAATATAAGTAAACAAGGCTCAGTACAGGAACCAAAAGGGAAAACAAGAAGTAGCTGAGAGAGCTCTCCATGTATTCAGACACTAAAAGAATCATACACAGATTACAGGACAGCTCTGCAAAATCTAAAGGAATAAAAGAAAGCTTGAAAATATCTGCAGTGAAGAGAAACTACAAAAAGTGAAAACAGAATGAATAAGGCAGAGATAATATTTTAATAGAAATAAGCTCATAATTTCCCAGAATTGATGAAAGACACTCCATTGATTCAAGAAACCTAGTATTTCTCATGTAAGATAAATATAAAGAAATTTGCATTCTCACATTACAGTAAAAATGCAGAACAGCAAAAATAAGAGAAAAAGATTTCAAAAGCAGTTAAAAATGACAGATGCTTTTACAACAATAACAATGGAAGCTACAGATAATAATAATAATGTAATAATATTACAGATAATAATTTTGAACCCACAATTCTAGAGAAAAGTCCTTTAAGAGTGAGGATGAAATAAATAAAAATTCAAACAAAAAACCAACAGAGTAATCTAAAAGTTGGCAACTAACAAACCTTCTCTAAAGGATATTCTGAAAGGTGTACTTGAGGTAGAAAGTGAGGTTTCAGATTATAAGTCTAAGATGATGACAGAAGAAAGAGCAAAGAAAGTGGGAAACATGAAGATAAACCAAAATACTGACTGGATAAAACAGTAATACTGTATAGAGATTTAAAAAAAAAGACAATTTAAATACCTGAAACCAATATGAAAAGTCAGTAGAGTGTTAAATGGAATTTAAGTGTTCAAAGGTAACTGCTGGCAAAGTAGGGCCAAATCCTGTCTGCTGCCTATTTTTATATGCACATTTTTTTTGGCATACAGCCCCAGGCATTTGTTTGCATCCTATTCATGGGTGCTTTCTTGCTATAGTAGCAGAGTTGAGTAGTGGTGACAGAAACAATATGGTCTGGCAAAAATATCTGCTATCTGACCCTTTACAGAAGAGGTTTACCAACTCTTACTCCAAGGTCACTGCACTGTCTAACCGGGTTAACTTTATTTTTTTACTGATTAACTTTAGATACTTGTAAATGAAGCATGCATGTAATGTCTAGCCTAACCAATGAAAGGACAGAAAAAAGGTGTGTAACTTCCAAACTGATTGAAAAATTCAAATGATAAAAAATCACCCAGTTGGTCCAAAAGACAAGACGAAAAAACAAAGTAAGCCAAATGAACAAATAGCATAAGTAAGGTGAGACATTTAAAGCCAAATATATAGGTAATTTCATTAAAATTTAAATGAACTTAATGATTCAGTTAAAAGTGATAGACTGTCAGACTGGAGAAAAAACTGGAACCCAACTATATGGTACTTAGGAAAGATATATCCTAAGATTCAGAAGGGCCTAAATTAAAAAAAGGGAAAAAAATACATCATGCAAATATCAACCAAAGGACTGAAATAGTTTAATACTAGACAAAGTACACAAAAAGCTAGAGACAAAAAGGGTCACATCATAATGCTAAAGGTCAGATACACCAAGAATACATATTTCCTGAGGCATATGCATCTAATAATTTAGCTTTAAAGCATGTGATGCAAAGCTAACTGAACCACAAGGAGAAACATACAAATCCTTTTGATTTTATCTATCGGGAAATGTTAACATACCTTTCTCAGTAACTGACAGAACAGACCAAAAAAAAGAAAAAATCAGTAATGTTAAAAACAATCTGAACAACATAATTAACAATTCTGACCTAAAAGGGATATACAGAATACTATATTTACCAACTGCAGAATACTTTTTTCCCCCAAGCAAACAGAGAACATTACAAAACTTGATCATATGCTGGGCCACAAACACAAGTCTTAATGTAATTTTAAAAGAACAACTCAGAAAGAACATGTTCTCTGACCACAATGCAGAAATGCTAAAAATAAAAAAGGATATAACAAAAGTCAAGAGGACATGTTAACAAAATAGAAAAGAAATTCATAATAGCAACTGATCCAGAAAAAAAGAAGACACAAATAAGCAGTATCACAAATGATAACATGACAATTTCCACAGACTTATAAACAAAACTATTATGTTGAACTTTATGTCAGTACATTTGAAAACTTAGATAACATGGACAAATTCTTAGAAAAATGTAATCTACTAACAATGATTCAAGAAGTCAGGGACCTGAACAGTCCCATAAACAGCAAAGAATAACCTCAGCAGGCGAGACTCTAAGCCCATGTTGGTTCATTAATAAACTTCACCAAATTCCAAGACAGAAATAATTCCCAAATCAGTTAATGTATCCAAGAACAAAATGGGAACATTCCTAAATAATTTTACGAAACTACAATCATATTGATATAGAAACCTCAGAATACTAAAAAGGAAAACTACAGGTCATCTCACACATGAACAGAAATACAAAATGAATGAATTTATAATGTGTACACATACACAACACAATTGAATTCTGCCAAGTGTAAAAAGCATTCTATGTGTTATACTAACACACTACGCAAGTTTAGCTAAAAATAGAAAATCAATTAGAAGATTATTATCTATATTCTTACCAGATTATAGATTAAAAGAACAAAAATGAAATAATCAAATACAGGAAAAACATTTGATAAAATATAACCACCATTCATGCTAAAACCTGTTAGCAAACTAGGAATAGAATTTCTTCAATAGAGATATCAAATCACATCTTTAAAAAAGTCAACGATTTAAAGATTCAATGCTGTAAAGAAGTCCACTCACCCAAGTAACTCTACAAAATAAATGCAACCCCAATCAAAATTCCCAGGTCGGGCAGGGGGACTGTAGAATCAATAGGCTGATTTCCCATATTTGTACAGAATTACAAAGAGCTGTAGTCATATACTCAAGAATATAGCCATACTCTAAAAAATGAACAAAGTGGGAGGACTTACTCTATGAGGTAGCAAGTTTCAGTAAAAGACTGCAATAATTAAGAGCATACTGAGTACTGGTATGGACAGACAGGTAGAGCAACAGAATGTAATAGAGAGATTACAAACTGACCCAAGCATATACGGATGCTCCATATATGACAAAGATGGTCCTGCAGAGCAGTAGGGAAAGGATGAGCTTTTCAATAAATAGTGCTAGAAAAAGTGGATTATCCATGTGTAAAGTTAAATGGGACTTCAACTTCACATGATACACAAAAAACAATTCTGTGTTTACAGATATAAATGTGAGATGCAACACTATAAAGCTTTTAGAAAATAATTATGGGAGAATAGCTTCACAACCTCAAGGTAGGGAAGGGTTTATAAACACATAAAATTGTTAACTGTAAAGGAAACATGATAGATTTTACTACGTTAAAATAAGAACATCTGTTCACCAGAAGGCACTACAGAGAGTCAAAAAAACAAGCCACAGAATGAAAAAAAGAACTTATAATACATATAACCAACAACTAGCATCCAAAAGTACAAAGAATTACTACAAACCAGTAAGGAAAAAAAACAGGTGACCAATGACAAGATGAGCAAAAGACTTCATAGGCATTCCACAAAAGAGGAAATCCACATTGGCCAATACAACATTTGAAAGGTGCTTAATCTCACTAAGAATTAGAGAACTACAAATTAAAATCAACAATAAAATAACACAGTCTCACCAAATCAAGTACTGGAGAGGATGTGACAATAAGCAGACTTAAACACTGCTGGGAGTAGAACCTGGTATCCCCACTTTGAAAAATGTTTTGGTAACATCTAGTTAAACTGAAGATTTGTATACCCCGCAACAAAGCCATTCTCCTCCCAAGTATAAACCCTGGAAAAACACATGGATAAGCAAACCACAATTCATAAACAGAAGTTTTCTTCATAGCACCGCCTCTAAAATTTTTTTGTTATTACAGAAAACCCAGAATGAATCAGGGAAGGGCACAAGGTGGTGGCAGGGACTTCTGAGAAGTGGGTGATGTTCTAATTTTAGACCTAGGTGGTAGTTACATGGATGTCCACTCCCTAATTATTCATTAAATGATGTATTTCTATTTTATGCTTTTTTATATGCATGCCATAGTTCACAATAAAAAGAAAAAATTTAAAAAGTAAATTTATCTTTTAAGTAGAATTTAATTATGCCTAATTAAAAAAAGACTTGCTATATGGTAATTTTTCTTTCAGATATGTGTAATTTCATGTCTGTACCAATAATACCAATGAAATAAAGTGTTGAAAAGGTATTAAAATTCTGCAACTCCAATACCAAAATGGTCTCTGAAAAAAATGAATGTAAATCCATGATGTGATTAAAGAATTTTGAGAATTGCAGCTGCAAAATATTTCCAATAGGTAAGCCTTAATTTCGCACAGAGCTAAGGAATAAAAATAGGATAAAAGATATGGAAATTAAGTATATGAAAACAGCAAGTCCCGTTAGCTCTTCCTTCAAAGCTGAAATCTAATCACTTTCCAATAATTCTAACAGCATCACCCAAGCGACCCTCATCTCTGGCTGAAACCACAGCATTAGCCTTACAACTGGTCTCTCAGCTTCCAATCTTCCACTCTTGCCTGCTCAAGTCCTTTTTCCAGAGGGCAGCAGGAGTGACCTTTCAAAAAGCAAACATGCTCAATGTCCTCCCAGGCTTCCACTTTCGCTTAGAACACATGAAGAGCCCTCATCAGCTTCTCTAACCTCATGTTCAACCTGCTCCTCCTCTTCAGTCACCCTGCCCCTCTTTCAATTCCTCAAACACACCAACTTCGTTCCTGACTCAGTCTTTACTCTTGCTTTTGTCTCTACCTGGAAAGTCTTACCCTAAACGGTCACATGACTGCCTCTTTCTCAACATTCAGATTGCTGCTTAAATGTCATCTCTCAGAGAAGCCTCTCCTGACTACTGTATTGAAAATATTACTCTCACAACCCACCCACCTTGACAAAAAACACCATTTTCATTTTCTTCAATCTCCTGTGCCTTCTTTATCTTCCACATGCACTGGACTCTGTCTGAAGTTGTATTGTTCCTCTACTCACCTTCTGTCTCCCCTACTAAATTACAAGCTCCATGAGAGGAAGGACTTTGTTTTGGTCACTGCTGTATCCCTAGTACCTGGAACAGCCTTTGATCCTAGTAGCCACTTAATACCATTTGTTGAGTTAAAAAAAAAATCTAATTGATTAGAAGAAATTCTAACTGAAAGGGATTAGAATACTTACATGTTTATTGCTTATTGGTCTTCTCAAGAAAGCGTCTCTAGAAATATGGTCTGCTGTTCTTGCCACATCTTCCAAGAATCGATAATCTACAAGTTTCAAAATAGAAAAATAAACACATGACATATGCCAATGGCCAGGAAGCATCAATTATGCATAAGATGGCTTACCACTTAGGAGATTCATTTCGGTAAATTCTTGTATTGAAACATACGCAGTTTTATCTCGAACTCCATTACAAGTCAGTTCTGCTTTGTGTTTCTTTACACAGGGCAAACTGAAGAGACAAACAGGAGGTACGTTTATACTTTGAGGTAAGAAGGGTAGAGAAAGAGATAATAAAGTAGTAAATTACATATGTACCTGCAGGAATATCGCATACAACGTGGACATCTGTACTTTGCTTCTTCTGTTCCACAAGTTTCACATCTACAAAAGTCCACATGAAACTTAATAAATTATCAAACGTTAATTCTACTTATTTATTTACAAACTTTTAATGATGAGTCAATTATTCATCACAATCAGTTTACAGATATGGAGTGAATAAAGGAGATGCAAGTAACTCCTATAAAAGAAGTCCAATCCGTTAGCTATGTTTAGATACCTTAAAGGCACACACACCAAAAAAAGATGTAAGACCCAGACAAATTCAGAGAGTAGCAGCTGCATCTTTTTCCCTCAACTTGATACTCAACTCAGAATGGGCATCAAAATAATGTAGAAATGCTTTTACCCCATCATCTGTCTCCAATTCCTGTTCTAGGATCTAGGGATACTGACAATCAAACTACAGCTACTTCCATTTGACCCACTGTGTTTGAGGCAATAATAATCCAAGAATCTGACTAACTTTTAAGTCCTATGCGCCACATGATCACACTATAAAGAAATTAAATCTGAAGTAATAAGTAATCATAGTACCCATAGAGAGACTAGACAGTTGGATGAGTTCAAGTGTATTTGTCTAATTTAACTTAATCCTCTTTGTCCTTGCCAGTTTTGTTAGACTTTCTTCAAATCTCTCCTCTCTCAAAGGAATATTGAGCCAAGAGCATATTAAGTCAAGCCAGATTCTGGTCCAAGGGATTTTTGGTTCCTCACAATTTTCACTTCCTAACATGGCCACTGGATACTAGTACCAATCCCACATATTTTCACTGAATTTGCTGTCATCTGACAAAACCCTCCTTTCTCAAACACCCCTGCCTCCATCACTCAGGCTCCAGGGACCCAAACTAGCGCTTATTTAATTCATTATTATTCCACACCCTGCTGGTAGGGCAGTTTCTTTCAATCTAGACCACAGAGGAATCCACAACTTTATTCCCCCAATGGATTTCTCCTTGGCCTACCTTGACATGGCCAGTTTCCGCTTGGAGCCTACTGGGGGATTTATCTGAGACTCATCTTTCACCTTTGTATCATCCATCACTTCTTCTTTGGGTAAATACTTCTCTTCTTTTACATTCATTTCATCCATTATTTCCTCCTTTTTAATGTTCTGATCAATAAACATCTCCTCCTGTTTAATCTCCAAGTTATCTTTCTTCTCTTCCTTTACTTCTAGCCAATACATTACTTCTTCTTTCACCTTCACTTTCTCTTCCTTTACCTCTGGTTCTTCCACAGTCTCTTCTTTTACCATCAAACTACTATCCATCTCCTGCTTCACCTCCAATGCGCCAGGTTTTTCCTCTTTCACCTCGGACTCATCCTTTACCTCCCGCTTTACCCACTGAAGGTCATTCGGCATACCTGCTTCCATTTCTGACCAGTCCATTACTTCTTGCTTCACAACCGTTAGGTTCACTCGCATTTCCTCTGCCCTAAGTCCACTTCCTTCTTCTCCTTCCCCTGTCTTCTCCATTCCAGTCAGTCCATTCCCCGCGTCTCGGCCGCCGGCCTCCTCCGTCCCTGCTACCCCCCTGACTCTCCCGCTACCTGTCTCGAGACTTTGCCGCGCCCCCTCAGCTCCACTCTGGAGACCTCCTCCCGACGTCTCTTCATTTTCACCAGCAAAATTCATCAGCTCACGATCGTTGACCTCCGCTGCCACTGTGTCCTTCAATGTGGCTGGCCCACACCAAAAGGAATGAATTACCGGCCGGAAGACCGACAGCAGCCCACGTGTGGATCACAGAAACAGCAGGCAGCAAACGCCGGGCCAGCGCGTTCAACCTAATAGTCGTAAAGCAAAGCTTCCGCGTCTCGGCACTTCACGACGCGTGGAGCTCTTTACGGCTCTGCGGCCGTCCCGTACGGATCCTCCGGTGATCCGCATGAGGCCACGCCCACTATGAGCCCGCCTCCAGGGCGGGGTTTCCCAAATCCTTCCCCTGGCAGGCCGCGCCCTCCGCACGTGGCCACCTTGTTTGTGAAGATTGCGGAGGCAGGGGCGTGCTCGCTGGGGAGAGACGCGAGAGCCCCGCAGCCTTGGACTGGGAAGACCTATCCTATTAACTCTAAACTTGTATGAAAATGAAAAAAACACCCAATGTCTCCGCTCACCACGCTTCAGCGTCTTCAGCAATACTCCAGAGACGATGGTATTACTAATCTTCTGGTTTCTTTTGACGGCCTGCATGGAAATAAACTATCAGTGATCGAAACAAACGCAATATATAATGGCTATTATTACTGGGAATCTTGATAGGCTTCAGGTAGGAAAAAGGGCATTAACTTTTATTCTTTCAATTATTTGTCAGTAATAGCTGAAATCAGCCAGTTTCCCATTTACAGCAACCTACAGGATTCTAAGGGGGGGGGTGTATATATGTATATGTGTGTGTGTATATATATATACATGCATGCATATATATATGTAAAAATATATATATATTTTTCTCCCTATTTAAAGACTGGGCAGAAAATTCAATCCCAGGACTAGACATCTAAAAAAATAAAAAGCCCACACACAACATACGAAAAACAGAAGCCATCCTGGTATCTGTTTTGTTACTTTTAAAAATTATTTTTACATACTGGGAATTAGGCACTTTCACTTAATCTTCACATCAACTGTGGAATACATACTTTTCTCTGTACATAAGGAGATTTAAAGAAACGGCTTTTTAGCTGTGGTCTGCTTTGTGCCACTCCCTTAAAGCCTGTTATGGTCGGCTGGGCATTTAGCTGTTATCATTCGCACATTGATCAGAGAATGGGAATTTTGAATGGGTGAGCAAAATGAGAAAGGTAATTTTGGAACCTTAGTTGGGGCTCTGGAGCACTGGAAGGAGCATTGAAGTAAGTTGGGAGAGTTCAGTAAAATTTTTGTATAGGTTGAGAGGAAGCTTCTAAAGGAGTCATACAGTATTTTTCGGAGATACTTGGAGGTGCCAGCTGCCCATAGAGTCAAAGAGAGCCTGACTGGATTTGCAGGCCAGATTACATGCTTATACCAGGAATAGGGGCTAAATGACAGAAAGAATCCACGTGGCCTTGCTAGAGACAAAATTTGGGGGATGGGAGCAACAAGAGGAAGTGTTTATCCTCAAAAGAATAAAAGCATCTGGATTTCCATTTAAGATCACAGAGAAAGTAATGGAACTACAAATCAGACACCAGAAGCAAAAACACTTAGGAGTATTTTGGAGATTTTCCTACATTCGTTCTTGTAATCTCTGTGTTTTTTTCAGTCACTGGAAGGAAAATCTTTAAACCAGTAAGTATTCTCGATAGCATCACAGCTAATCACTTAAGTTAAACATGAACACTGTAGGACTAGTTTTGTGGTGATATTGTTAAATGGCAGTTTTGAAGGAAAAGGGAGACTTGAGTGGTCCTGGAGGAGAGAACTTTGAGCTGTTGGAGTATAGAGAAAGGATATTGCCTGCAAGGATGGACATGGCAGGGACAGGGGAGGAAGAAGTTATGTGGGGCTATGATTGAATTCCTATCCGGGTCCTCAAACCCTTCCCCTCCCTTTTCTACATCCATGGGGTAGCCGGACAAGCCCAGCCCCTTCATTATAGGACTGAACCCTCTTGCTGTCCCCTGTCACCCCTGTCTCCCACCCCTGCGCCTGGCAGCATGGTGCAACCCTCCTAACCACTTTAGGAACTGGCCCTTTGCCAAAGTCATAGTTTGAGTTCAGTTTAACAGCTAGAAAGCTGGGAGTGCTCTCCAGTAAAGCATCTTAGCTGAGACTGAAATACTGTGAGAAAGTGTACATTAGGGCTGGTTAAACCATTTTGGTGGCTCAGAAGGTGCTGAGTGAGGTCAGCTGTCGGGTTGACTGTTCAGAGAGGATTAGAAGGTTCTTTCTTGTCGACTCAGTGGACAGGTACGAAAACGAAGACCCAGAGAACTAAAGTGATTTGCTCAACATTTCATGACTATTAGTGGTAGTCCTGAAAGAGAAAATGAATGTTCTGGTCGAAGGCTTTTGTTTCCACTTGATCTGGGTTAGGATAAAGGCTGGAAAATGGAAGTTCAGCTGTGTCCACCCACGAGGCAGGCACCAGGAACCAGAAAACTTTGAAGCCTGCCTGAATTTTGTTTTGTGGGATATGTGTTGTGTTGCAGGTTGGGTTACTGAGAAACAAACTTGCTGATAGCAAATCTGGGCAGTACCCTAGGGACCTTCTTGGGACGGACCCCTCCCCCATATCCTCTGCTTTAGCTCCTCTCTGAAGTACCCAGATAATTGTATCTGATGTCTGTTTCCTGCGTTTTTCAGGTACTAAAACCACAACCAAATGGAAGAAATTAACTGCCTGATGATCATGAGCACATGGCCTCCAGACCCTCTGGTGCCTAAGGATGATCACCGTCAACTAATCACCATCAATTCTGAGAATTGAGAATCACCTGGGACGCCCCTCCCTCCAATGGCCTTTAAAAAGGCTCAGCTGAAACCGTTCAGGGAGTTTGGGGATTTTTGTTGTTGTTGTTGTTGTTGTTGGCGGCACTAGCCATTCGTCCTCATTGCTCTGCCCTGATAAAAACCTTTCTCTGCTCCAAACTCAGATGCTGACGTGTTGTTTGGCCTCCCTGTGCCTCAAGCACATGAAGAACTTCCACCGGCAACAATTTTGGGGAGCCAGCCATGGCAGGTTGACCCTGGCCAGGGGCAGCCCCTTCCCTGGGTTCCTGTAGCTGTTGGAACTCATTTTGCTCTGGGGATCTTGGAAGGACTCTGACAGGCACCTCACTGCCCCCGGCATGAGGCTGTTTCAAACCAAGAAACGTCTGGAACTACGGTCCACGTTTGTTGTCGCTTGGGGGTAAGTGACTCCAGCTCGTGCAGGCTGGAAATTCTCTCCACTGCATCTGTGCGCATTCCCTTGTTGGAAGTGAGTCCTTCTGGGCTCCTTGTGAGCCACTGTGGGTCTGTTCTCTTTCAAGAGCTGGGCCAGTCTGTTTGGAGGCTTCAGGCTGGGAGTAGAAGAGAAATTTGTAGATTACATCTCTGAATTTCCATCTGTGAGACTGCAGCTTATTTATTGTTTGTGTTTGTGCATGTATCGTTTTGGGATGAGCTACCCCGGCTTGTGCAGGATGGGAAAATTCTACCCCCTCCACCTGGGCTCATGCCTTTCCGGGAATTGAGCCATTCTGGGCTCATTGGGAACCAATCTGGAGCCATTCTTTTTTGGGAGCCAGGCCACTGTGGAAGCCTCCATCTGGGAGTGGAAGTGGTATTTTGGCTTACACCTCGTCTGATCCTTTGTAGGACCGTGTTTTTTGTTTGTGTGTTTCAGTACTTACATTGGCTGGTTGAGACGTCTTTGGTGAGTAACGGGGCTCTTGTGTGATGAAACCAGGGTATAAGGATATATTGGGTTGGCTTCACTGGCAGTGGAGCATTGGTTGGGAATCTCCATTTTGGGCTAGGGAACTGTGACCCTGAGAGACTGTTTTGCATTGCATTTTGTTTGCTTGGTATTTAATACCAGCTGTGAATTATTATGGTTATTCTGCGCTCCATTCCATCTTATAGTCCCCTGGGGTATTTTGGCAAAACTGGGAGGTCTTTAGCTAGGTTCCCATAAATGAAAGAAAATGATACTTTTCTTGTAACATTGTATGAGATCTGGAGAACGGTGGCCCTTAGTGGCTCTGCTATTATATCAAAATGCATCTGCTTTGGCTTTTACCTTGGGGGGAGGTATTTGAGTGTTTCTGTACCGGAGCCAAGTCCTGTTCTCTCTTCCTGGTTTGGCATGTGAGTGTGAACAAATGATATAACTATCTATTCTGTCTATTACTCTTATTTCTTTAAGCTGAAGTGGCCATTTGGGAACTGGAAAAAATAAAAATCCCTGAAGATAGCCAAGATGGTTGGGTTTTGTAAAAAGCAGTTAGGGGAGGAATTTCTATTTCTCTTCTTTTGCCTTTGTGATGTAAATGATCTACCTGGGCTCTCAAGGGTGAAAAAAAAAGAGGTTTTTTAAAACTCAAGTGGAAAAAATGAGATATCTGGTTCTGTCTTTACATAAAAATTAACTTATAGTTGAGCTCTACTTAATTGACTTAAAAGTAAGTGCTTACAAGTTAAATACTTTTCAGTTAAAATGAAGCTAAATAGAACAAATTTCAGGTTCATGTGATTTAGGGAATATTTAATATTGAACTGATACCTGATATTAAAGCTAGCTTAAGCTTGTTGGTGTAATCATTACAGACATGTCTTTTATTGTACCTAAGTTTACCGAAGTTCAGTAATTTCATGTTTCTGTTGCAGTTTGTCAGCAGAAAGAAAAAAATTGACTTGGTATGATATAATTTTTATAAGTTAAATGCAGATGAGATGGGAGCTTTTAGGTGAACTCTATGGAAATAATTATGTTTTAGAAATATCTACTTAAAGATGATCTCTCCAGATATTTGATAACTTGAAATTTTAGAGTTGTGCCAAATTAAGTTAAGTTTGTTGAATGGCTAGGTCATTCCCAAAGTAAAATACTGAAACATTAATTGAACATTGGCTTCCCTTTACAGAAAAACTAAGGCTCTTTAGGACCATTGATGAATATGTTTGGTGCCACCCTGAGATATTTCCTATAAAAAGCACATGGTTTTTGGAAATTATTACTGGTATTTATGTTTGCCAATCTACCGAATCCGTAATTGTTTCTGTCTTGGTTTTCACTAGAAATTTAGAAATTAAAGTTATTAAGAGTTGAGGATTCTAGTTTAAACATGTCATTGAAGCTACTAAAAATAAGTGAAACATTTTAGTATACAAT